TTTTTTTTTTTTTTTGGTACCAGGGATCGAACACGGGTCCTTGCGCTTGCACAGCAGGCGGCGAAACCACTGAGCTAAATCCCCCCTGGCCCACCTAATCACATCTTAAAGGGCCCCCATTGGCTCTAAGGTCTCAACACATGAATTGTGGAGTGAACACGTCAAACCACAGCACCCGGCTTCCCTTTACTAAGGTCTCTGTGTCCCCCAGATTTCTCTCTCGAAAAGCACCTAGAACTGACCTGTACAATCTGTCTTGAGTGGCCCACATCTGTGCTCCATAAAACACTCATACATTTTTCACCTGGTAAATCCTGGGAGAGAAAGGGTGGGTTGTTCCTAACCAAGCAGTTCTGCCCTGTAGTTCTTTTCTTGCCTTTTAGCTTTTCCAGGTGGGATTCAGACAAGACTGCACTGCACCTCCTGAACTGTAGGTGCCACATTTAAAACTCACCCGGTGGCCTCCACAAAGCCTCTTTCTTTTGTTTGGAGATTTGGAGGAAGGAGTCACAGCTCTCCTTTAAGAAATCCTTCCTGGGCCAGGGATTTAGCTCAGTGGTTCTGCCGCCTGCCTCAAAAGCACAAGGGCCTGAGTTTGATCCCTGGTACCAAAAAAAGAAAGAAAGAAAAAAAAGAAATCCTCCCTAATCACCTACTATGGACCCTTTCATATGTTCAGTGTGGGGAAGGTGTAAGTTGACTAATTTGTTTCCTTGAAATTCCTGGCATACTTCCTATATTTGAAATTTGCTATTTCAACCAAAATAACTAATTTAACATCTGTAGCAAGATTTCAGTTGTTTATTCAACTAGCATTAAGCTCCCAATAGACCATCACTGTCTAGTAGAAATACAAGGCAAGCCACACGTGTAATTTAACATTTTTTCGAAGCCACATTAAAAAGAAGAAAACAGGTGAAATTATTCTTACTAATTGATCTTATTTAATCTAATAATCTGAAACATTATAATTTCCATATGAGATACAATACTGAGCAATTAGTGATGAGAGTTTTTTCATTCTTGTTTTGCTCTAAGTCTTAAAAATGTAGTTTATGCTTACTCCACATTCCACTTAGGACCAACCACATTATCAAGAACTCAATGGTCACCAGTAAGTGGTAATGTAATGGCAACTGAGTAGACAATCCAACAGTAGTCTGTAATTTCTATGGGCAAAGTTGGTGTCTGTCTTGTTGATTGCTATATACCAAAGTGCTTGGCATATAGTAGGCATTAAATATTTAATTGAACTGAAATACAATTGAAATAATAAAGAAATTATCAAGGGAATCATTGAATGGCTTCCCACAGCACTTCTAGTCTAAATGATTCAATTCTGCACACAATTAGTTTGCCCACATTGTTTGTAATTCATTGATTCCTCAAGCATTTAAGCTTCCTGAAGGAGGTGAAGTCTTCGTCTTGTTCACCACTATATTCTTAAAAGCTTACACAGTTCTTGGTATTGTGATGTGGAGATTCATGCTGCCAACAAATATTTAGTGTCCACCCAGACTCAGTTACTTTTGTAGGTAGTAGGATACAAATACATTGTTTCTGCTCGTGGAGATCACAGATAATAAAAAGTAAAGAGGGCTATGGCAAAAATAAAGAGGCTGACATGATGGGTACGATGGGGGAGTATGGAGGAGAAGGAGCCAGTTCTGTAAAGAGCCAGGGGAAGGACCTGATTGTGTCTTTTTTTTTTTAAACAGGGTGTTGATATGTAATTCAGGCTGACCTACAACTCACAATGTAGCCCAGGCTGGCCTTGAACTCATGGTGATCCTCCTACCTTAGCCTCCCAAGTGCTGGCATTATAGGGATGTCCCACCACACTTGGCTGATTGTGTTTTAACCACAGTTCTGTCTCACAGTTCTCTATTGCAGTCACATTAATCTTTCATTTTCTCAAACAACGCAAACCTGTTTCTGCCTTTACCTTTGTTTCCTTTGCCTATTCTGTCTGTCTCCCTCTCACCTGGTGTCTTCTCATGTTGCAGCTTGTATCCTATCTCTTCAAGAAGGCCATTCCTGACCGCTGTCTCCAGGACTCATCACTCTCAACACTCCATCATATGAGCACTTTTTATTATTACAGTCTGTGAACTTGTGTGTACATCTGTTGTCTTGCACACCAAAAGTAAAGCTCAAAGTCATGAGAAACTGTCTCTGAAAGTTGCAATCTTTCAGTGCCTAGAACAGTGACTCTGTAACATATATACGACTCATAATTGTGGTCAACAGTTTTTTATTAAATGGGTGAATGAATGAAGGTCAAGAGTTTAAAGTCTTTGGAAAATATCTTAAGATATGATTTGGCTTTCTGAGAAGGAAGATTGGGTTAATGTGTATGGCAGTTATTCGCTTGGACTGTCTTAGGCACCTGGTAACCTGTTTTATTTCCAATTCCTTTGAGAATCTTACCGGGTAAATGGACACAAACTTTTGCATATAACTTGGTGGGAGGTGATTCATGGACCTCCAGAAGAAATGAAAGTGCCCAGGTTGAAAATTCCTGTGGAAACGGGGATTCCCCGCACCAAACGAAGAGGCAAGTGTTTGATGAGATAATGCACGAAGCGCCTTTAAAGAACTGGAATAAGTGCCTGTGGCTTTGGGGAGAGAAGTTATCCCATGAATCCCTGGAAAGCAAATTTCTTCCCTGTGTGAGGGCCTTGCTTGGCGGTTGCTAAGGACGCTCGCATTGTCCAATCGTTGCTCGTTTTACTAGGCTGTGCGGCACTCCGTGGTTGCTGTGGCAACGGACAGCAACAGCTCCAGACTCAGGCGGGGTAGAGAGAAAGCTGGCTGCTTGGAGCAGGGTAGGAAGCCCCTTGGCAATGGTGTCTATGAGTCAGACGCGGGGTCCTCGGCAGGGAACTCGGTGTGGAATTGACGTGGGATTCGGGGTGCACCGGGGTCAGAGGTCTTCGCAGTGACCCTGGGGTCCGAGTCCGGGAGTCAAAAGGAGTGCCTGAGTTTCAGTTCGCCTTCCCCAACCCTTCCCTCGGCCCCTTCTCCTCACCCCTGTTAAAGTTACTGGTCCTCCCATTGATTTCCGTTCTTGGGATACCCCAGCCAGGCAGGTAGCAAGGGACAGGGGTCCTGCCAGGACAGCAAGCCTGGGAATTGTCTCTTTTCTCACTTCGAATTACCCCTGAGGGCTCCGGCGAAGTCGCTTTTCGTCTTTCCTTACCAGGAGATGATGGTGAGGAGACCAGCACAGCCTCAGATGTGCTTCATCTGTGTGGTTTCCTTACTGGGCTCTGAAGTGACTTTAATGATGACCAGCCGCCTTTCTAGTTGCTCAGTTTGGGCTCAGAAAAATGTCCCATGGTCGGGGCCAGGGAGTGGTCTTCTGTAGGACGCTACAGGAGGGTCCTGTCCTCCAGATGGGCTCACCTGTTTATCTGAGGTTTCTTGCTCCCCATTTCTCTTGAGGCTTGTCCTTTTCATTTTGGAGCACTACAGCCAGTGTGTATTTCATCTGAAAGTGTGTATTTTCATCTTTCCCATTCTCCCTTACTTCTTAAAACAATTGCAAGATGAGACCCATCTCTTTGATGAATTTATACCGTGATTAATCTTGACTCTGTGATAGATTTAGAAATAACAGCTTAATTAAGGTCGAAGTTGAAGACAGTAAAAAAATATCCAGGAGGATAAACCAACAACAATTCAATTCAGAAACTGAGCAACTGGAAAGCTTTAATTGTGAGAATACTTAAGAAAATTTCATACATTCTAATTTATAGACTTTTCTCATTTGTCTCCATAAGTTAGTAGAAAGATGTATTCATCAGTTCCATTATGTCTTTGTTCTCCTAAATTTTCCTGTGATCCTTATTCATATTTCACTTTCTTCCTTGGGAATGTTGAGATTGTCACCATTTGTGTAGCTACCTGGACACTATACTCTATTTAGCATCATTTATGCCTTCCTCTTGTGGTTTTCTCCAGTTTGCACAGTTGTTACAGCATTGAACTCACCAATATATTCAGGATCACCTCACCTCATTCTAGAACAAAGCCTCCTGACTGGAACAGCAAAAATAATCACCCAACGACTTAAAAGGTTGTTTTTCTGTCTTCTGACTTAGCTAAGTATGAATGGGGTTAAAATTTCACCCTCCCCATTTGTGCAACTCTTTTGGGTCTATTGTAGAGATTGTAATTGCCCAGGAAACTAATCAATGCTTGATAAATTTTTTTATTGGTACATTGTAGGTATACAACACAATTACATTTCTCATTGGGAATTGTACCTTTACATAATGGATCTTAGTTCTTACTTTTCCCCATTCCTAGCCCTCCCTTCATGCCCTCCACCCTTCCCTATTGACAAAGACTTTATTTCCATTTTTTCAATTTCTCAGCATTTTTCCTTTCCCTTCTTTCCTTTCCCCTGCCCCTCCCACTACCCCTACCCCTTTGGACCTTTT